ATGCATCTCTTTGCTAGAGAAACAAATAAAAATAAAAGAAATGCTACCAAAAATACTACACCATTTCAGATTTCAGAAAACACAGTAGAACAGGCAGAAGAGGCTGGGTCTACCTCTACCATAAATCTTGAGTTGCACAGTGCCGCTCACAAATTCAGCATTCATCCAAACAAAGCTTTTCATTAGAGTTACTAGAACTTCACAAGGAGATATTGTGCCTTGGCTACATGTAGCTTGAAGAAGGGGAGAGAAAGTGCAGGAATTGCTTCTTTCAGATAAATACAAGTTGCTGAATTCAGCCAAAGAAAATTTTGGGAAGAACTTGACCGAGTACATGCCCTTGTTAACAGTCTCCAGAGTACTACTTCGTCTGTTTTGGCCTTGCAATATAGCATGTTCCCAGTTTGATTACTTATATATTGGAGAAAGAAAAAGAAAAAAGAAAAAGAAAAAAAACCCAAGGGCTCTTGGCATTTATCTCTGAATCTTGGGGAACTTTCTTTTTGAATTTTTGAAAAACACTCAACTTTGCCTCCTTCTAGTGCTCTTTAAGGGGTTATTATTACAAGACATGGTGTTATGACTTTATCTAAACTGTTGTTTCCAAGAAACAGAAGGGTTTTCTTGCAGTTTTCAGTTGATAAAAGTACATTCACCACAGGATAAATATTACTGGATCACTTCAGCAGCTGAAGGATACTTTTTAGCTATAAAATGTTCTAAAGATCTTGCAGATGGGAAGTAAAAAAAAATGTTTATTCCATGTTTATACTTGTACAAAACTGTTAATCACAGCACAGTCAAGTTATTAAAGCAAAAGAGGTTAATATGCTGATTTTTCCAGAAAGCCAAGTACTAGGATACTGCTGACTGATTACAATAGTATTTGTTATTTGAGAAGGTTCATTAAAAAAAAAAAATGTTACTCTTGACTCTGAACATCCAGATTTAAATGTTTTCACTACCAAACTGTCAATGTTTCAAAAAGTTGTTACTGGGAAAAAGACTGTCATAAACACACCATTTGGGTGAAGGCCAGGGAAAATTACCTACCTGTTACAGTGACTTTCCCCTAAGTAAAAAAAAAAAACAAAAAAAACCCCTCACTTTTACAGTACAAGTACAGAAGCAAGATGATAATCAGATTCTAACATGGAGATAATTCGAGGATCTCTCCTAAGGAGAAAGGATCGCTACACCGCATGGTAACACAGACCTCACGTAGCTACTGTCATCTCTTCTATGGCAAAGGGAGATAACTGTTGGTAATTTTACTTCCTATTCACTTACCATCTCTGTCCTAAATAACTAATCCAATCCTAGACATTAAACAAAAATTCATCAAGTCCTCTATTGTCACCAAACAAACAGCCCTAATATAAACACAGCAATATTTTTTCCAAAGTATATTCAAATTCATCCTTTCTCTCCCTTATTCAGAACTAGGATGCCCAAGTCCCCAGGCTGTTGCATTCACTCCATGGCCGTGGTACTACACTGTAAAGAAAAGCAGGCTGCCCACAATCTCTGCTCAGAGGTTCCCTTCAAGGTCCACAGTTTTTGCCCCTGACAACGTAGCAAGTGCTTGCCATCTCTGGAACAAGGAACAGCCAGCATGCTGCCAGCAAGAGAACACTGACGGAATTCACGCTGGGATTTTACCCATTCTATCTCGTCAGTAACCTTTAATAACCAGCCGTTAACAAGCTTAAAAGGTTAATCCACTGTAAAGTACCTGGTTTTAACCCATCAGTACTATCCATGTTGCAAGATCACTTAGAAATTGCACCATAAAGTAGCTTCCATTATTCTAGCTAATTTAATTTGCAGCAAACAGAATAAGCAACATGCCCCATACAAAAGGGACTGCAATATGAAAAAATAGATACAGTTCAGGGAAAATTGTGAAGTTCCACTCTTTATTCACCTGCAGAAAGCGGGACTGAGCAGCATGACCTCCAGAGATCCCTTCTACCACGAATTAAATATTCTATGATTCTACGATTCCATAATCAGAAGGAGGGTATTTTCCTGTGTACAGACTAATACGTTTCCAGGATGTTTTGGAAAGCTGCCATAATCCCATTATCAGTCACTCACACATATGTGCAGACATAAACACAGAGGCCCAAAAAGTAAAGGTTCTGGTTAACAAAATAGCGTCATACAAATTGCAAGAATGCAAGACTTTCCTTCAAATGCTTAGAAGTCTTTCATTGGCTCATTACCTTTCATCTCTTGCTTTTCTAACATGCTGCTCCTTGCAGCGACGCCATATTTTCCATCAATCAATCAAAAAGGCAATGGAACTTTAACAACAGTGCTCCAGAGAGGGACTGCCACAAGGCACCACACCCAGCAGAGTCCATACAGCAGAGCCCATCAGTAGGACAGACAAGGAGACATACAGCTGGTGATTAAGAGAAAACAGGAGAAGGGATGGAGACAAGAGAATCCATCCTGGCTACAGAACCACCTGTTTTCTGCTAGGGACAAGACAGACAGAGGTGGGCATCTCAGAGTGGCCAAAGTGACAGACTGGATCTGAATATCTCCCTTACTGTAGCAAAAATTAGACTAATCGATCCCTCACCCCACATAAAAAACCCTTTATGAAGGTAAACAAAGAAAGGACAGAAAGGACATTTTTCAAAAAAAAAACCCACTTCCTGGCAGTATCTAAATTTGAAATTACTTTTGGGAATGACAACTCGGCTCCTATCCTAGATTAAGGATTCAGTACCTCTAAACAAACGTGCGTTTGGCATCTATTTCTCCTCTCTTTTCATTTAATTCTGAAATAACTGTAATGCCAGTACCCAGACTTAATAAACAGGCTTTACTACCTTCAGTCTCCACCTCTGCTCCTCGTCTCTAAATCTTCCGCTACATGTTAGAATGAACTTCCATAAATAGTCTGGCAAACAGAAGATATAAAAAGCAGCTTTCAAATGAACACCTCTGCAGAGCACCAGAAGTAAAGACTGGATAGATCAGCGTTCAGATCAGCTTATGCTTTTCAGGTGATTGCCAGATTTTAGACTGCCATATTCGTTGATGACACCAAATAAGACTATTTTGAAAATGCAATATTTTTCAAAAAAATTCTGAAACATATTCTACTCTCTATTCATTATTATTTAGCTTACTAGAACAGTATAAATATTAGAAAATACATTGTAAACCTTGCTACATTTGTAGCACTTCCCTCACAAGGAAAAACAGGTTGCATTGACACTTCATCAAGAAATACGCTAATATAGTTGTGAATAGTATAATTATAATTACATAATTATATCATACAGTATTACTATAATATTATAATTTTTGAGAAAGCATTTTAAATAGGCAGTCTTTCCCTCTTTAGGGGAATAAAGAACAAGAATTAACCAAAAAATGCTTTCAAGCAACAACACTGGCAGCAGAGCTGGCCTCTGCACATGACCTGATATAACTGACAGTACTGTATTTCTCAGACTTCTTAAAGCATCACAAATGGTGACGCTTGCACACTTCTTGTACTGTTGAGATGTGACCACAGTGCATGTTCCATCTGAAATGGTGGAATCAAGTGTGCATTCAAGTGCCTGTCCCAGCCACTTCCCAATCCCAGACTGAAGCACAACTCAAAGCCATACCACCCCTTCCAACTTCTCAGCCTAGACTTCTCTAGAAAAAAAAATGTAGGAGCACATATTAAAAAAGAAACCATGGTATTATCCAAACAGGAGACAAGATCCCAGTTGACGCTGCGGCACACAATCAGTGTCAGATTAGCTACAGCTAATGCTTTTTCTTTGGGTAAGAGTTACTGGGCAACTATGGGGAGGAATAAATGGTCTGTGTTGCCCTGAAAATAAGCCATCCAAAAAGAGAATGATGTTACGAACAATAGTGCCTCTTACTTTTATAAACTTCATGTACCCTTTTAATTCTCTTTTATGTACGAGGCTTTATTACCACAGTTTAAGCAGTCAAGTTTGTCTCTCTTATCACTTAAAGCCCTTGCTACTCAGTTGGCTACAGCCAGGCAGGCTCCTACTCAGACTACAACTCAAGTTCAGGAACGCGGACAGGGAGAGGGGTCCATCTCACCCACGGTACTCAGTCCAGCTCTGAGGCGTGAGCATGCATTACCTGAACTCTCATCTCAGCCAGCAGGCCACCACACAAAGCTTACCGCAGGCTTTTAGCTGACCAACAACCATGTCAAATTTGTTAAAAAGCTATGTTAAAAGATGGTATGTACTTGTCACCCTTTTACTTTATGCCTTGGCTCTTCTCCATATGTCTTTTCTCTCTATGCCTCAACTTATCTTTTTCAGCAGTGTAAGCTTTCTCAGTTGGAAAAAAATCACTAGATAAAATAAGGTTTGTTACCAATCAGAAAACTAAAAAAGCTCACTTCTGTAATATAAAACTACATACGATATGAAAAGTAAGTAAAGCACTAGGAGATCTAAACATACATTTTTAAGAAACCATGGTTTCAACCTACCTTATTTAAAAGGCAGAGTAAGACTTATGCAGACCTTACTTCTAAAGTGTTCAGAATGATTATGTTCAAAGCAGATTACTGCTTCATCTAGTACTAATCAGCTTAGCGCTAGGAAAATGACCATTATGGCAAAAACAGTCACCTACATTCTACTCCAACATATAGAATGACAAGTTCATATCATCACTATTGGTCTGATATATGTTGTCTCCAAAAACATGTGATTTTCGTTGACCTCAGAAATTATGGTAGCCTTGAGAATGCAGGAATTTCTTTAAAAGAAAAAAGCCACACAAATTTCAGATCAGAAACACAAATGAAAACACTTTGAAAGAATAACAAAGCACTGGGAAAACAATGTGCAGCCAGCAGCTTCAGAACTAAACACCCACTCGCAACTGGCAATGCATAAGCTGTAAAGAACAAAAACGCCTGCCCACAAATGACACAAAAACTAAAGGCTGAAATGTGAGTCATAGGAAGAAAAGAGAAAAATGCTTACCTATGAATAGAAAAAGAAGCAATGGATCTAATAAGGGATGCCACTGCTCCAACTTTAGCAGCTTCCACTGCTCCCTGTGATCTGTATCGCACGGTTTCACCGTAAGTGATGAAAGGTTGGTTGTAGACAACAATCTTCCCCTTGGCCTCTTGAGCTCTTCTGTGGAGTTCATCAAAAGAGGCTACCACTATGACTTCTGCCATAATTCCTGAAAGAAAGTATTTCAGTGGCGTTACAGAGTTTAACATAACCCTCCTAAAGCCAGTTTTGCCCTGACAGAAACGCATGGACTGTAGAGAATAGAGGAAATTAGACCTTTTCTTACTGGAAAAGATAGACTGTGTGAAATGCTTCATCAGAGATTGGTACAAAATAGCTGCAAAAACACCCTGAAATGAATACACACAGTTCTGTAAACCATCCTCTCAGGTTGGTCGTAGAACATAACTTGGTGGGCAAGGAGGATACACAGGGGAATGCTGTTCTCTAAATGTATTTCAAATGCTTGACTGCAATCATTTACAGCACAAAAACATTTGGAAAAGCTGCCTATGGGATTAATAAAAAAAAGATAGTAATCTTTTCATGTAATTGTTTTGATATGTTGCTAAACAACTTAACCTAACATCAGACAAGTGAAAGCACATATTTTTAGACTGAAACACATACAAAATGATTTAATTCATAAATGAAATGAAATGAAGGTTTTACGGTTTCAAAAAAATTTTACAGTATGCTTCTAAGTCAAAAAAACTTTGTATTTAATTCAGGAGACTACAGTTTTATTGTATCTCCTTCTGGGGGCTTTCCTAGGGATCCATCCTTTTCCAATGATGATACAGAGAACACAGGCAGGTACTTTTGGAAAAATATTTGCTCGTCGTAAATTAGATCCCACCCAGCTGTTTGTTTTTAATAGTTGGAATAGTTTTAAATTGCTATGTTGTCTTTCTGGAAAAACAAAGGAATTTATAGATAACTAGTTTTTCCTAAAGCCAGAAAAAGCTTCTAACTTTATAAAACATTAATTTAAGAGCTACATTTCACAGCTTTTGAGAAAAAATAATTCATTAAAATGACCACTATGCTTAAAATCTAATTTTGCTGATTGGTTACAAAGATAAGTGGAAACTGTTGAACAACACAGGCTAAGACTTTTCCTCTAAATATAGAAGTAGTAATGGATGCCTGAAATTTTAGTGTTGCACATTTCACCTAAAAGCCACAAAATATGTCAGTGAAAACATTAAAATAATTATTTAGAGAAGATTTTAAACTTGTATTTGAGATTGTAATATATGAGAAGAACTGACAGGAAAAAAAGGAAGATAATCTCACCCAGCATCAGTGTATCTAGGCTCATGGCTTCTTTAAGATCAAACTACAGTATACTTCAAAACTCAAAGAAACTGTTTCATACAGAAAAAGGCTGTTTTCTTAAGAGTGCATCGCTAAGAGAACAAGAGACTCCGTACTACCGCTACAAGACACATGAGTTTTAGCTACAGTACTAGTGTGAGAGGTGTAAAAATTTTAACTGAACAACCATTCAGATTTTTAGCCTTATAAAAATAGTCACAGAAGACCAAACCAGAAGAGATCACCTTCAAATTTTACTATGCTACTACTGGCAGGTAGGTGAGTGTGTTAACAGACTCCAAGCGCTGCTAATGAACTACTGGTTCGACTATCTATCTAAGGCACATCCCAGTGACAGGACTGTTTGGCGTACGGAACTATGCCACTGGAAATAAAGCCAGGCATCTGTAAAATTCCATTTTCCACAATAAAAGTCAAGGTCTCAGTAGGCTGACACTGCACTCCATATTTCATATTAGCTTCTGAGACTAGCTCACTCCAATGCTCCACTTGGATTTTCTAGCAAGCACTGGACTGACATACATTGTATTAGCGATTGCAAGGAGTCTGACTGCTTCTGATATTGCTTTACTGCTTTAATGAAAAACCACCAATTCTGGATGCTTTTTAAAGAATGCTATAGACAGCTAGCAACTGTCTATAATCCTCAAGAAAAAATATGGAAAAGTACGTTTTTATGAGCCCCCTAGAAGGCAGGCATCAGGAGTTACTTTGCACAGTGAGCTTTATGGGAATTACGACTAAGAGAAAGAATGCAGAGCTGCAAACTCAGTATCTCTGTTTTTGAGTGTTCCCAAATAAGCTAAATAAAGCAATCAGTTGACAAAACAAAACAAAGGTTCCCTCTGCATGTTTAACTTAAAGGCAGCATGAGATATATAAGGCATCAATTACAGTGCTTTCTGTAATAAAACAAAACTTGTGTAACTTCTGACTAATTCAATGTCTCATTTGCACTTTAGTCCCACTTCATACCATTTCAGTCTCATCTATTAAAGTGAAAGGAGGAATGCTTATTTTAAATAAATACCTGAACACACACATACCACACTAAGACCTCCTGTGCAAAAGCAGAAATGAAACAAAAAGTCCAATTGCTTATCGTAAAGGAGATTGGATTTTTTTTTTTAATGGGGAATGGCTTACCTTACTGAACCTTTTAGTTAATTAATCAAACTCTGCCCCTAACATCTCCTAACAACTTAGTGCCTCATGGCTCTCCTTTTTACGTCTAAAGATGTTCTATCTAGTTCTTACTCCTATCATTATCTGATCCAGAATTTGGCTGTGTGTTACAGAATGGGATCATTTCAAACACCCAAGCAAGGAGGCAGCTGAATTGCCTGCGTACTTAGGCAAGATATAAAGATTATAACCCACGCAGTCCAAGGAATTAATATGGAGCATTTTAGGAATTAGCTATGTAAAGAGCATTAAGCATAGAAGACAAAATTAAGAACTTAAATTAGGCCGAGCACATAAAGCTGAAGACCGTATACTTGTTCTTGCCATGTGAAACATTATAGTATTGTTGAGTTCAGCCAATAAGCAAAAGAACTTATTTAATGCTATGTGTTTCATCTCATTTTTTATATTAAATAGTAAATTGTACCAAGTCATTTTTGAGAATTAGGGTAGAGGAAAGGAGTTAATGGTGGGAACAAGCAGACAACTTTCAATTACCAGCAAAATCAGCATTATGAAGCCTTCTGTACACAGATAATGCGCATTTCTATCTAAACACTTGGCTACGCCACAACTTTGACAATCATACTAACAATTGAAATAAATGGTACAGTACACATTAGCAAAGTTTAAAATCCTTCATAGGCAGAATGAAGGCAAAATTGACTACAGCTACTCTTTAATAGCTATGGAAAGTCCAAAACCAAAAAAAAAAAAGAAAAAAACTGCCTGTAAATCAGCTGTCTGCAGTGTTATCATACATCAGAAGTCTGATTCTTGGTGTGAACAATTCTGTCTGTCTATCTGGAGAGTCACCTCCCAGCACCTGCTTACTTGCCAGCAATCACACTAGCAGTAGATTAGTTTAAAGGGAATTCCCCGAAAGATAATTTATTCTCCACAAGATTAAGATGCACCAAATCACAGAATCACACAGAATCACAGAACGGTTGAGGTTGGAAGGGACCTCTGGAGATCATCTAGTCCAACACCTCTGCTCAAGCAGGGTCACCTAGAGCACATTGCCCAGGATCGCGTCCAGGCGGGTTTTGAATATCTCCAGCAAAGGAGACTCCACTACCTCTCGGGGCAACCTGGTCCAGTGCTCTGTCACCCTCACAGGAAAGAAGTTTTTCCTCACGTTCAGATGGAACTGCCTGTGCTTCAGTTTGGGCCCGTTGCCTCTCGTCCTGTCACTGGGCACCACGGAGAAGAGTCGGGCCCCATCCTCTCGACATCCCCCCTTCAGATACTTGTACACATTGATCAGATCGCCTCTCAGTCTTCTCTTCTCCAGGCTAAAACAGGCCCAGCTCTCTCAGCCTTGCCTCATAGGAGAGATGCTCCAGTCCCTTCATCATCTTTGTAGCCCTTCACTGGACTCACTCCAGGAGCTCCATGTCTCTCTTGCAGTGGGGAGCCCAGAACTGGACACAGCACTCCAGGTGAGGCCTCCCCAGGGCTGAGGAGAGGGGCAGGATCACCTCCCTCCACCTGCTGGCAACACTTCCTCATGCACCCCAGGATACCGTTGGCCTTCTTGGCCACAAAGGTACATTGCTGGCCTATGCTTAACTTGTTGTCCACCAGGTTTCCCAAACTTGCTGAGGGTGCACTCTGTCCCTTCCTCCAGGTCATCGATGAATACATTGAACAAGACTGGTCCCAGTACTGACCCCTGGGGGACACCGCTAGCTACAGGCCTCCAACTGGACTCTGCACCACTGACCGCAACCCTCTGAACTCTGCCATCTAGCCAGTTCTCAATCCACCTCGCTGCCCACTCGTCTCGCCCACACTTCCTGAGCTTGCCGGTGAGGATGTGATGGGAGACAGTGTCCAAAGCCTTGCTGAAGTCCAGGGAGACAACATCCACTGCTCTGCCCTCATCTACCCAGCCAGTCATCCCATCACAGAAGGCTATCAGATTGGTCAAGCATGATTTCCCCTTGGTGAATCCGTGCTGACTACTCCTGATCACCTTCTTGTCCTCCACATGCTTGGAGTGATGGCATCCAGGAGGAGCTGTTGCATCCCCTTTCCAGGGAGGGAGGTGAGGCTGACAGGCCTGTAGTTTCCTGGCTCCTCCTCCTTGCCCTTTCTGAAGACTGGCGTGACATTGGCTTTCTTCCAGGCCTCGGGCACCTCTCCGCATCTCCATGTCCTTTCCAAGATGATGGAGAGTGGCCTAGCAATGACGTCTGCCAGCTCCCTCAGCACTCGTGGATGCATCCCATCGGGGCCCATGGATTTGTGGATGTCAAGTTTGGACAAAAGGTCTCTAACCTGATCCTCCTCAATCAAGGGAGGGTCTTCCTTTCTCCAGACTTTCTCTCTTGTCCCTAGGGTCTGGAATTCCTGAGGGCTGGCCTTAGCAGTAAAGACTGAAGCAAAGAAGGCATTCAGCAACTCTGCCTTCTCTGTATCCTTCGTTACGAGGGCACCCGCCCCATTCAACAGTGGGCCCAAATATTTAAAACATATTAGTAGCTGGAGTTACATATCTATCTGTCTTACTAATAGGTTTCAGAGAACACTAAGAAAAGCAGGCGAATTCAGCTGGAAATTCACAAGGGAAATCTCATATAGAATACTGTTGCTGGTTTTGGCCACACCAGGGCAAGACATAGTAAGACTTTCCCA